AAAAAAAAAAAAAAAAAAAAAGTGGGAGTAAAATGGTCTTCAAACCCCAAGAACCTTCTAGTTCATTTTTTTCTCCATTATACTTTCACTTGCAAAAAATTCCTGTGCATTGATAATACCCAATGTTTATTATATGCAACATCCTGTCCCGTTCTAAGCGTGCTTTAACTGTAATCTCTATGAAAATATACAAGGTTGATTATCTTGCCCCAAATCACTCGAGGTTTGTCTGCTAAAGTGGCAGAGCTTCAATTAAGGCAGGGACTAATTTGCCCACTGCTCTTTCCCTAGACTTAGAATGGTGCCTAGTACGTGACATTCAATCTGTAGATCCAATTAACAAATATTAAGCACCCTATTAGGCGTTGAGGTACAAAGCAGTGAGCAAAATATGCAACAGTCCAGTCCTACATGGAGCTTACATTGAGTACCATCACCCCAACTCAATTAGCCATCTTAATTTCTTAGTGTGTGGTAGTGGGGATTAAACCCAAAGCCTCTGCACTAAATCACATCCCCAGTCCTTTCTTATTTTTTATTTGGAGACGGTCTCCCTAAATTGCTAGGTTGCCCGGACTGGGCTCAAATTTACGATTGTGTCAGCCTCCCAGGAGGCTGGGATTAACAGGAATTACCACCACGCCCGGCTCACATTTCATTTGGTCCTATCAAGCCTGGGAGGAGGGCTCAATCTATTTTGCAGAGGAGGAAACTGAAAATCAGGGTGGGGCAATGATTTGCCTTAGATCAATGGGATCGTTCGCAGGAGTGAGGATGAGACTCCAAACCAGCCCCTGAGGTTCTCAGGCTCCGGCCCTCAGTCAATCAGGCAAACATCCAATCGCCCAATCAGTATTTATTGGGTCCCCAGTGCGGGCGGTTAGTCCTCGCGCAGAAGGCTGTGATGCGCGAGGGAGGCCTCCGCGGGTCGCGGGAATTTGGCGCCTATTTTTCGTTGGTCGGGTGTTCTCACCAGTGATTGGGCCGCGGCGCGGCGTCCGGGCTGCGCCGGGTTGCGGCTGCTCTGTC